TATATTTTATTCTTGATCAGCATTATATCCTTCCATTTCTTCAGTGAAATAAAAGTTAGCGACAACTTACTTTGAAGGTAAGTGGCCTAATATGAAAGAGATATATTTATATTTGATATTTTCTTCCCTTCTTGAGGGTATAAAATCCAGCTCTGTAGCAGAGCACATGGCCACGTCATGTGAATCAGCACAATACTCCGGCTTAGAATGTATTTTCCGCATGGCCCAGTGTGCCCTTTCATGAAAGGACACATAGACCACCCACCCGAATAATATAATTAGTCCTATGTTAATATAAGAAAATTTCCAAGACACACTTTGTTTTTATTTGAAAGGCATAGCATCTCAGATCTGTCCATATACAAATGTCCTGTATATACTATATACAGTATATAGCTATTTATGTTTAGGATGTACTCATCGCAAGTTGCTGACTTTTGCCCCATTTCACTTTTAAAGCATTTGTTACAAATGCCTGTGAAGCCATTACTACACCACGAAGCTTCTCGTCTTCTATTATGACTTAGTATAAGTATCAGATTATTCTAAAGAAATGATATATGCCACTTGTTACCAATTAATAGCTGTATTCAAACACTGAAAGCTACTACTTCTGGATCCTAGCAGAAAAATTGATGGGGAGTGTCAAACATCACCAGTGGTTTTCTCTGATTTTTTGTGAATATGCCAAGTCATCATAGGCTTTCTATACTATTGGATCATATTTCAGAGTAGACACAGAGTAGAAAAAGATATTGATAACTAGATGTTCTTAATCTGACAAGAAATACTTCAAAATCAACTCAAACATGAGAAACAGTGCTAGTGGAGCATCATAGACAAAGTCTACAATTAGATCAGACTAGAACACTAAGGCAACTTCTGCTACTATGCCAAGTGTTTTGTGTTACATGGTTATTGAGGTAAATTTCTATCCTAGGGAAATGGCTTTTTTCTCAGGGTTCTAACTTTACTCTCACCGAGGTTACTGAATGGATATTTTTAACTTTTTGGGTCTATGAGGCAATGGATGAGTATCAGATGTGTTTACAGAGGTGATATCTAATGGGCATTGACTAAGTATATACATCGAGAAATCACATACTCTTTCCCCGTGTGAAGAGCTTGAAGTTTCAGTTTTCTCTACTAGTTTCATTCTTGCTAAAGTAAAACCTCCAGCTGTAATATTACAAAGTGCTAGAGTGTGACTTTATATTTTACAGAGGACTCATTTTATCCTCCACTGCCCACTCTACTTATAAAACGTAGCTTTCGTATTAATGGTGGTACTATCCTTGAATGTCAGTTTCTTTATTAGACTAAGTTCAACCTTTAAAAGGGACTTGTGTAAAGTTTGTGAGATAGCTCTCCTTTTGTCTTAGGCAGCAGTCTATACCAGTTTAGACTGCTAGACTCTGGCACTTGCTTCCTGTGGTTATTATAAATCAGTATTGTGAAGGTGATTGCCATGGAAGGATCAGTTAGGTTCTACCACATAAGTTGTTTGATCTATTCCGTGGTGTCATAGATGAGTGGAGACTCTATTTATAGCTCTTTGTGATAGGTTCTCTGAATGTTACACTTGTGGTTTAAGTGGTTTGTTGTGTCATTGACAGCTTGAAATATGCTCAAACATTTTTTTTCTGTGATCACTGTAAACATTTCTTCACCATCCCCAGGCTTATTTAATTTTATACTAAAATCTCACAGACTCAAAACTATCAGCAAATCACTGCCTTTATTTGTTTCTGGAAATAAATACCAAATACCTAAAAAAAAAGATTATTTTCATGAGTTTTGTTTAACATATCTATTCAAGTATAACATCTATTCCTCTTCAGATAGCACATTGAGCTCAATTAATATGGGCGCACCAGTTACTCAATTGTACGGTCCACATAACAGGAGTCTGAATTTGTGCTGTATTAGAATATCAACATAACATGGAGAACTTGAGAACAGTACATTTACCCTTCCTGGGATCCACTATATACACCTTCATTCGGATATCACAGTGAGCAGCAGAATCTGGGTGATGTTCTTACCTACTACATTGCATTTTAGTTCAAAGAAATGAAATAGAATTAAATGCACAGTATTCTAAAAAGCCAAATTATGTGCTGTTAAAAGAGATTCTAGGCTGCCTGAGTAATAGCGTTAATGTTTTCTTATTTCATCAACCTGGCTCTACTGTTTACTACTTAGTAATTGTCTTTCAGTTATCATTACTTAATACTTTATTACTTTTGGTTCAGAAAAGCCTTGCTCTCCAGTTCGTAACAAAAACTGTATTTGCTAGTAACATCTGTTGTTCTGCAATTGAGCTCTGTAATGCCTGCCATGGCAAAGAACATCTTTCTTCACCTGCTGTGATAGCCATACCCGCATAAAACTTTATTCTCAGATGGATTAGCAGTTACCTAATATCACAACTTTTTCTACATCACTAACGCAGAACTATTGCTTTATAGAGAATTCAAACTGATCACCTATCTTAATATTTCACTTAGTCTGATTAATATATAGAGAAACAATATTTAACTGAAAGTGTAAACTCTAAAATCATTTTATGTAAAACCATTGCCTTGTTTACAGTTGTCTTCATATTTGGTACAAATAATGAAACAGACGTATTATTTTATGAACAAGAATATGTTTTCATTTCACTTAGGAAACAGTAGGTCTGAGTTTTTTATGTTACTTAATTAGAGATTACAGAGATCATTTGATAGGTTGTATGTTTCACTGATATTTAGCTGACATGTGCTTAATCTAGATAACTTCACTTTGAAATTTTTTATTTGCTATTTTCATGTGTTGGTTAATTAAATATTTTCATTTGCATGACTTCTTTAGCACTAAATTTTTTATAACAAATCCCAAGAAGAGTCAGCAACCATATGAATAAAGTGCCTGGCATACAATGAACAAAAGAACCCTGGTGTTTTTTATTACATTGTACTTATTTCTTATCACATATGTACTTATAAATGTCCTCATCAAGATAGTAAACATATAAGCCATTTTTAGTACATAGACTTCTCATATTCAAGGCAACACAATCCAAATCACATCCTTGATATTTATCAGAATTCAAGCATAATAAAGACTCTTTTCTTTTCAATGCTATGATTATTTTCTAGCCCTTAGGTACTTACAGACTTGTGATGAATCAGGGTATTGTGATGAATGAATAAAGAGGCAATAGATTGCTTATTGAATTTCTTTTTGATTTCAGAGTGAAAAAAATGTTCAATGTACGTTGATGGAGTTCTCAATGATTTGCACATGTCCCAAAATGTTACAGTTATTCACGTCTATCATTAGGGAAAAAAAGGTTTCCAGTCATTTTTTTCTTGACATCAAGATCCTGAAAGGATTAAACCCTCTAATAAGCAAACGCTGCATAAACAGGCTTATGTATACAGTCCTCCATGCTCTGTAATAACTAACTCTATAATATTAGCATCATCTAGAAAGGAAGTATTGAAGTAGACCTACAGGGCTGATCCTTGCCCTCCCTTTTCTTACTGACCCTCACAATCAAAGTCTTGGATGTCTTGTTGAAGTACAATCTCATTGCATAATGTGGTGCTAGGAAGCCAGGAAGCCATTCTTCTTTCCTAACTCTTCCTTTTTCTTACCCTTACAAGCTATGTGCTCAGACTGTAGGAAACACCAGTCTGCAAAGATTTTTAGCATGCCACCCATGATTAGAAAATATTTTCCCCAACCAAATCATAAACATGTAGTTTAACCAAAGGCATTCTAATTTTCATGCTATGTTGAGTATAAATATAAATTCAAGGCAGCCAAACTATCCATTTCCAAATAAGAATGTATACCTACACTCATTAAAAATCATCTGGAAATGTGTATTATTAGCAAATGAGTAAGAAATTTTCACTAGTATAAAATTCCTGCTTTATATAAAAGCCACACTGGCCATTCAAGTATTTGAGGTTTTTTTTTTCCTAAGGTTTTTGTAATTTTTACTAAAATGATGAAATTAAGCTTGAAATTAAAGAAAAAGTTAAAAAAAACCTCTATCTATAGGGCATATTCAGAGTGTGCATGTAGAGAGCAAAGCGTCCACCTGCAGAACTACTTCCCAGACTCTCACTCCGCTCTACAGAAACAGCTCTTGCTTACCAGGTGTTAGAGAATAACAATCTGATGGAGAAGTGACACCAGATTTCCTTCAATTTGTGCCAGTTTGCAAGTTAAAGGTCAAAGGGCAAAGACACAGAACAGGACTCTTCAAGGAAAATTTTTCACAGAAGACAAGGTTTAAGTTGTTGTTAATGACAGTCAACAGATCAGTATCAAGTTCAAGGCAAGCTGTTCATTGTTTCAAAAGCTAATCCCCTCAAAAGCTGGCTTTCACACAAAGCCCATTGTCTGACTCCTGGGGTGCTTTCCTCATGACCATCTCTAATAAGTTCACAGCCCAGTGGCTGTAAAGCCTCTCACTGCAAGAAGCAGCTCCTAAAATCAATAAAGAGGTCTGTCAGTTGCTGACTTTTCTCTAGGAAAAAAATATTGATACAAACCTGCTCTGCAGGTCACATGAAAATGATAATACTGCTGTTAGGACAAATTACACTCAACAATGGAATGCTTTGGTGTCTCTTAGCTCTGTCAGTGATCCAACGAATGGCTAAATGCCAGTAGTCACACCAACCCTTTGAGAACTATGGCTGACATGCAATAGGTTATGCACTGGAAGATTTTCATGCAAACTCAGGTCACCATTTTTTAATTCAATCAATACAGAATGCTAACTGCGTATTTCATGGTGAATTGGATTTTCATGCAATGAATTTTAAATAAGTGAAAAAAATCAGTAAGTCTGAAGAAGAAAAAGCATAGGCTAGTCTAATCAATTATTCAAATAAAATTTCACTCTCGTGAGATACTGTTAACAAAATATCTTTTTTATTTGCCAGAAAAATTTTGGCAATTCACATCGTTGCTTGTTATAAAAGCATTTATGCAGTACTGTCAGTCATTAAAGAATTACATGGGATTGTAAGGTATGCTTTACAAATCTGAACTTCTCAAACCTGTGATGGCTTTCACTATTGTCCAGTTCTACAAATGACCAGATTGCAAGACTAATCACCCTGACTCTGTAAGCTGTTCTGATAGTTCTCAAAGGGTTACACTGCTGTAACAACAGAGTCATACATGTTTATAAAATAACCATCACTCTCATTATGTCAGAGACACACTGCTTCTTGCTCTACTTTGCGCTGAGTATTGCTGACAGACCGATGGAAGGCCTGGGACAAAGGCCTAACACAACTGGGAAGAACATGACAATGATGCTGGGTCAATAGGCAAGAGGGGGTTCAGAAGCATTTCAAAACAATCAAAAGGTCCTGTCTGAATACAGCTATGAGGATGGAAGTGATGATACATTGTGGACATAGCTGAGAACAGCTGTAGAAAACGAAAAATGCATGTATTATTAAGGCTGTTACTATATTGCAGATATTTTGGCCCCTTGTTTGTTGGAAAATGGCTGTCCCAACAGTCTAGAGTCCTGCATGTATGTTCCAGACCTTCCGCCTGACAGAACGGTGCGCAGGAGACTATCCGTAGTGATCACAGAGCTATCTTCTTTGGAGACAAAGCTGTTTTGGGTCTTCACACTTTCCTGAAAGTTCAGTTGTGGATTTTGTTGTTTAAAAACAAAAACAAACAAACAATTCTTTTTTTTTTCTTTTGCCTTAAAGAAAAAACTTATGGGTTTTCTGATTGGCTCTTTTTGTTTTCTTTCTCTTTTTCTCTCTCTTTCTCTTTCCCAGAAATGGGCTCAGATTTCAGAAGGAAAAGTATTAAAAAAAAATTAAGAAACTTTTCTTCTATATTTCCTCTTCTTCAGTTAATCCTGAAATTTTACTGGGCATTGAGCGTGCAGAGGAAAGGCCTAGAACTGAATGACAAAGAAAGACAGAGGACTGAAGAACAGCAGATACTGTGCATCATGGAAGCTTCTCCATGAATGTATTTCCACTCATGTGCAGGACCAGCAACCCTCTGGGTTTGGAAGGTCAGCCCTGTATCAGGCTGCCACAGCCTGCTCCTAGCGAGGAAACAGCCTAACAGCTCTTGTCTTGAATCTCAAGTTACCGCAAACTCCTGGGAAAGAAAGAAAAATAATAAATCCCTACATCACACCCACTCTTGCATAGAGCGTTTACAGTACAGTATGTGGCGGGGCGTTCCTTTCCTCTTGAACTGGAACACGGTGTAAACCAATACAAGGAGGCATAAGGCCAAGATGCAGGGAATGACAATAGCTATGGCTTTCACAGTGCTGGCTGTGTTGTCCAGTTTGATGACAATGTCTACATCATCTGGTGGGCTGAGTCCTTCTTTATCTCGGTCTGTTGGTCCATCACAACCCATAAAATCCTTGAGGATGGATCTTGGATACCCAGGTTCTACTTTGAGTATCTGGTTATTGAATTTCCAATACTCCTTTCCTTTGTAGAAATAGGTAAAGCCTGAAGAGAAAACATACACACAGAGGTACCACTCATTTATGATCAGGCATATGCATAAAATGTTAACAAAATGGGCTACTTCTCAGAATATATAGTTTAAGACCTTAAGTCCTTTCAGTTTCTAAAAGAAGAAAACACAATGCTCAATTCAATTGTCTTACCTAGGCTCTGGGTGCGATATTACAAAAATTGTACTTTTTTTCCTTCCTTTGTTCCCTGTTCCTTCCGTTCCTCCCTTTTTCCTCCCCCCATTCCTTCTTTCTTCCTACCTTTCTTCTTTTCTTGCCTTCCTCCATCCATCTCTTCCTGTCTGAGAAAGGGTCTAAGTCTGGATCCCAAGCCATGCTGGTACTCTCTATAGACTGTGGGTGGCCTTAAACATGGCAATTGACCCCTTGCCTCAGCCTCCCTAATGCTCAGGTTGCAGGTATGTGCCACCGAACCCCGCCCATATTTTCTAATGTCAGAAAAGGGATCACTGAAATATACACTACCTATAGGCAACTCGGGGTGGTGATGGCAGACTATTTATATCCATTTCCAATTTAGACTATAAAGAGGGTCTCTTTCTTTTCTGCCTTAAGGGGTTACTATCATATAATTCAAATTAGAATCATATCATAGAATTTTTATTAGCATATGAAGAATTGTTTGAAAAATTAAGCCATTACTGATCTCCAAGCTGCCAGTGACCAGACTGTTCAATGATCAGCCAAGAAATGTCTCATTTATCACCACACAGGTCATGTTGGCAACACCTTAGTATTAGGTCTTTTGTTATTTGGATAAGAAATTATAACAAAACAGTGGAGTGTAGGTAATTTCTTTTGTCTGTTGGGCATTTTAACAAGCAAGTTCATGTTGTACACCAAGCTCAATTCTGGCTGTAGGTGATCCTTACTTTGTCTTTTCCCCATTTGTTGTCTTCATTTGTAGTACTACTAATTTTATCCTACATTTGTGCCATCTAGCTATACCTTATGGAATTTTGAAATTCATTGTTAAATGTTTTAGGAATAAAAAGAAAATAAATCACAATTATATCCTTAATATTTCTGGATACTATATCTATTTTATTTATGAGGAGTTGATATGAGAAGTTTCAAATAATTCAGTAATGTATGATCTAAAATATTACAGCGAAAATAATAGATGTTTTAAGTTCTTCACATATGTAAACTTGCAGATTTTCTTAGAAATGTTTTTCAAAGGGGTTACATCTGGGATACATAGTGAATAAACTGTAATTAATATAAAAAAGAAAAATTAAAAATAAAAAAGAAATAGTTTCAACATTTGAATACTCACACCCTGTAAAGTCTGTGATTATGCTACTTGGACTTGACTTTTGCTTTTAGTTAAAACTAAAATGCAAAGCTAAAATACAAAAATCAGAATAAAAAATGAAACAAAAAATGCTATAGTAATTAAAAAATATTTTTGGGGGAGTTACAACTTAAGAGTTCAAGATGATAATTGTTATTGTATGCTGATACTCCCAGAGAGTTGCATCCTAAAAAGCACTGTTTTTATCCTTCATAACTGTTCCACTGTTAAGAAGAATTATTTTCTTGTTTTTATTCTCTGAGAGACATTGATGTTCAGAGACATTCCATATGACTAAGACCAAATGAGACTTAAGCACTAGTCCACACCTAGAGCTATAACACATGACTTTGCTTCTTAAATGCCACTACTCAGATAGGTATCACTCCTGATATAAAGAATTCTACAACAGAAAGAAATTTCAGACAGGACACATGGGTCATCATCGGTTATTTCATATTGGAAATTATTTTGTTCAGTGTTGTAAAAGTCTTTAATTTTGAAGAAGAGTTATTCAGCTATAGCAACTTGCCAAACAAAAACAGGAGTGTGTAGATTCAAATTATTCTGCCGGGGAATGAGTATTAATATGCAGGAATAGATGAATGGAGGAGAGAAATGAATTTTCTGCTGTAGTTTTTGGATAGTTAAAAACCTACCACACTGCTAAAACAGAGATAAAGAACGATGGCTAAGAAGAAATAATTCAAATTAATTTGTATGAGCAAATGGAATGTGGATTCCTTAGGAATGTATTTACTTAGGAAAGAATAAAAGCAAAGGAAAAAAAAAAACAAGCAACAACAATGAAAATATTAAAATACCCAGAGTTTAAATTAGGAACACTTGTTTAGGAAGCTATATTTAGTGTTTAGTCCATATGGACCAAGTGAGAAATAAAGAAAGCTACAACAGGTCACTGATAACAACAGTGTAATGTGGAAAGTGTGTTGACTTCTCTTTTGTAGAGAGTGTATTCACATTCATTAGCGGTTAAATGCTTCAGTTTCAAGTTTTAGGAATATATCTAACTTATGCTCAGAAATAAGCTATTTAACACAGATGACTACTGGTGAATGAAACTTTCTGTTGGAAAATTAAATGAATTTATGTACTATACTTGAGACATAGGAAGCATCCATGTGACATCAGACAGTCACGCTGAAAAGGAAGAACTAAAATTAATGTTCAGATATTAGAAGTGACATGTTTCACCTAGATGTGAATAACATTAAAACCTATATCTTAGTTTTAAATTCATGAGAATAGTAGGAGAACATTTTTAACAGCAGATTTTTACAGCAGTGAAAGAGTGAATTAGAGAAAACATTATACTATTCTCCCTTCTTTGATCAATTATTATCAAACAAAGGATTCTATGTTGTTTCTTATGATGTTATCCATAAATTCATTCTTGTCTGACTGTGTTGAGGGGAGCCTTCAGTTAAACATGATTAAAAAGTATCATTGCAATTGGCTGAACTCAGAATAGATTACTGTTCCACATATATTTGTTACCATATTTTCAGGAATATAAGAGATATGTACATCAAGTTACTGCGAAGTATCTATTCCTCAGTAGTAAACTGCTATCTATATTTTCTTCTAATCTATTTAAATAAATATAAATAAATCCAATTTGAAACCACCTATCGCATAGGAGTAAAAGTAAATTCCTAAGAAGAATAAAACTGAATATAAATAAAATTTATAGATATGAATATACATATTTCACACTTCTAGTATGACATATTCGAAAATTGTTTGATTTATCACAAACAATGTGATACTAATATACACAATATAGGAGCAGAGAGTGTGAACACTGTGTACCATTTTCTTTGTGGACAAAAGCTCCCTGTGGTGATTCAGGGATACCCTTCCAGATGGTGATGGGCTTGGGGTAGCCAGGGTCCATGGTTTTCATTTCTTCACTATATCTCCAATACCTAAAATGTGAAAGCAACACTCAGGCAAGTATTTATATTTTCACTAAATTATTATGTATTCTTTTCCACCTCCCACTGGGGGAAAAAAAACTGATTGAAATCATTGGAACAATGGACATAAAATTATCCTATGTCTCTTGCAAAATTTTATTATCTATATTCTACATATGGAAAAATGAGTATTTAATCTTTTAAAGTTAATAATCATGTTAAGTGCAAAATGTTTTCTAAGTAAACTCAGAATGCAGAAGCATGTTATGAAAACTCATATACACATCTAAACATGCAGGTGAGCATTTACACGCCATTCCTGACTGCCTAGAAAAGCTCACTGGACTTGGAGAGGGGCATGGGAGGACTGGCTGCATTGTCTTCCTCTGTGGCCTCATAAGGCTCCTTCTCTATAATGGGGAGTTGATCAAAGAGCAGGCCAATCAGTTCATGTCAGAGACAGTACATGTTCCCCTTATTAGGGACCTACTTCCCTAGTAAGCTGCCATGGGCTACATCTGGGGTCCTAGGTTATCTCCATGCATGGTCCTTGGTTGAAGTATCATTTTCAGAAAAGACCCCTGTGCCCAGAATTTGTGGTTTTGTTACTCTCCTTGTGGAGTTCCTGTTCCCTCCAGGTCTTTCTATTTCCCCCTTCTTTCCTAAGATCCCCTACACTCTGCCCAAAGTTTGAGCCTCAGCATCTGCTTTGATATACTGCTGGGCAGAGTCTTTCAGGGGCCCTCTGTGGTAGGCTCCTGTCCTGTTTTCTCTTTTCCCCTTCTTCCAATGTCCATTCCATCTGTCTTTCTGAGTGAGAATTGATCATCTTACCCAGGGTCCTTCTTCTTGCTTAGCTTCTTTAGGTGTACAGATTTTAGTATGTTTATCCAAATATTATATGTCTAGAATCCACTTACATGTGAGTATATACCATGTGTGTCTTTCTGCTTCTGGGATACCTCACTCAGGATGATCTTTTCCAGATCCCATCATTTGGGATTTGCAAATTTGCAAATTTCATGATTTCCTTGTTTTTAATTGGTGAGTAGTATTCCATTGTGTAAATGTACCACAAATTCTGTATCCAATCCTTTGTTGAGGGGCATCTGTGCTGTTTCCAGCTTTTGGCTATTATAAATAAAGCTGCTACAAACATGTTTGAGCAAATGTCCTTGTTGTGTACTTGAACATCTTTTGGATATATTCACAGGAGTGGTATAGCTGGTTCTTGAGGTAGCACTGTTCCTAATTGTCTGAGAAAGCGCCAGATTGATTTCCAAAGTGGTTTTACAAGTTTACATTTCCACCAGCAGTGGAGGAGGGTTCCCCTTTCTCCACATCCTCTCCAACATGTGTTGTCCTTTGAGTTTTTGATCTTAGCCATTTTGATAGGTGTAAGGTGAAATCTCAGAGTTGTTTTGATTTGCATTTTCATGATGACTAAGGACATTGAGCATTTCTTTAAGTTTTTATCTGCCATTCTATATTCCTCTACTAAGAATTCTCTGTTTAGTTCTGTACCCCATTTTTTAATTGGATTAACTGATTTGTTGCTGCTTTTTAACTTCTTTAGTTCTTTAAATATTCTGGATATCAGCCCTTTGTCAGATAAAGGGTTGGTGAAGATCCTTTCCCAGTCTGTAGGCTGTTGTTTTGTTCTGTTGACAGCGTCATTTGCTTTACAGAGCTTTTCAGTTTCATGGAGGTCCATTTATTGATTGTTGCTCTTAGAGCCTGTGCTGTTGGTGTTCTGTTCAGGAAGTTGTCTCCTGTGCCAATGAGTTCAAGGCTCTTCCCCACTTTTTCTTCTAACAGATTTAATGGGTCTGGTTTTATGTTGAGGTCTTTGATCCACTTGGACTTTAGTTTTGTGCTGGGCTATAAATATGGATCTATTTGCATTTTTCTACATGTAGACATCCAATTAGACCAGAAACATTTGTTGAAGATGCAATCTTTTTCCCATTGTATGGTTTTTGGCTCTTTTTCATAAGTCAGGTGTCCATAGGTGTGCGGATTTATTTCTGAGTCTTCTATTGGATTCCATTGATCCACCAGTCTGTTTCTATGCCAGTACCATGTGGGTTTAATTACTATTGCTCTGTAGTACAGCTTGAGATCAAGGATGGAGATACCTACAGACAAGCTGTTTTTATGACAGGATTGTTTTTAGCAATTCTGGGTTTTTTGTTTTTCCATATGAAATTGATAATTGTTATTAACTTTGAATTTTTGGATATGTGATAATCTTGAGAAAAAAATCAATTCACCAATGATGATATAAAATGACAGGAGCTAGACACAGCTAAGAGACGAACAAGGCATAAAATGCTATAAAGCAATGTATTAAAGCCTTTGTAAGTAAATCCTTTGTGAAAATTGATATTTAAGGTAAGAAATGAGAGGAATTTTGAGAGTGGGGAGCAGCAGAGTGAGAGTAGCAGTGAGAGAGCAGAATAGGGAATAGCATAGAGAGAGCAGCATAGAGCAGTGAGTGAGAGGCAGTGAGAGAGCAGAAGGAGACACGTGCAGCGACTGAGCAGTAGTAAGAACACAGCAATGAGTTACTTTCGGTGAGTGTAACTGCTTATATCCTCTGATGTTTAATATTAATTCTCAACCTGACTGATATTTCACTGTTTTAGTTCAAATTAGTAACAAAGTTAGTAACAAAAATTCTACTTCATATTTTAACTACCTCATGGGGTACCAACTGTGGGTATTAGGATGTACAATTCATTTGTGCTATATGAGAATGTTAACAATGACATGGAAAAGAAAACAGGGTGTAGTAAAATATCTGGAAAGGAGTATGATGTGTTGTTAATATTTTCCAACATTTGCTGCCTACTATCGGAGGATATTATGTCATTAGAAACTGAACCCATTTTTATAGCATTATTTTTCTTGGTCCTACTTGCAGAACTGATAAATAAATGGAATTATTTGAAAATTGTAATAAGTGTATACAAAGTAAAAAAAATTGTTAACAAAATTTTGCAAAAAATAAATGATGCTATAGGAAAGTCTATAACAAGGACACAAATGTACATGTGTATATGTGTCCATATGTATTTATTTATAGCTTACATAGCATATTAAAAATCAGGAAAAAAGAAACAACGTAGTTTACTGGACATGTCTACATTCATAAATGAGTTATATTAGGTATATTTGGTAAAAATGAGTTATATTATAACAGATGGAAATTTATCTTAAATATATTATCTACAATACAAGTTTCTAGCATAGTAGCTTTTGTGCTTACACACAAGCCCATCATCATTCTCAGTGAATGTCTGTAAATGAATAGAGACCTCGATTTTTCAAATCACTTTTCAAATTAGGTAACTGCTAATGTGTGTGTCACATACAAACTGACCTGTCACCTTTGAAGAAATAGGTTTTGCCAACATCTTCCCACCATATAGCAGAGTCAATACCGTGAGGAGGAATTCCATTCCCAAGAGTAATCAAGTCATGAGGGTAACCGGGTTGAAGAGTTGTGTCCTTGAACACCCAGTATTTATTACCTGTATGAAAGAAACATAGATACAGAATGTATTAGTAAAACATTAATTACAAGGTGCCATAAGCATAATGCATGTAAGATATTATGCAAGACATCCCAGAAATAAGCCAGTCATAGTCACATCCAGAATACTGATATTCTTGCTCAAACATCAGTGTGATTTGCAAAAACAGATATTATTTAAAAGTAATAAATATGTATTTAAATATATATTTAATCACTAATCTAAATATAAAATGGAAAAACTACTGATAATATAGTACAAGTGTGTGAGGTAATATAAAAATTAAATCCACGGCTTGGCTATAAAAAAATTCAAAGTCTGATGAGAACTGATAGACTAAGATCAGAAAGAAGGAGAAGAGGACCTCCCCTATGAGCAGACTTGGGGAAGGGCATGCATGCAAAAAAGGGGGAGGGTGGGGCTGGGAGGGGAGGAGGGAGGGGCTTATGGGGGGATACAAAATGAATAAAGTGTAATTAATAAAAGTTAAATAAAAAAATTTAAAAAATTCAAAGTCAAAGATTCTTTCCCTGGGCTTTAAAGATCCTACCTCTACGGTCTGCTGCTGGTGCCTTCTGTGGTTTGTACATTGATTTTAGGATAATAACATCTATTCTGCGTGAGCATTTCTAGTAGGTTGATACTTTCCTTACATTATGTAGACATTTTCAAGTGTCTTTAATCAAATGAAGTCCCCCTATTTTGACTCTGTGCTTACTTGAGTTATAAAGCTTATGAGGGTACATAAAAAGAGGAAATGTTTAAACCTATACTATTCAAAATTGCAGAGTATAATACTCAAAAAGCAGGCTGACTTCTGCTAGTTGTTGTTGTTTGAAATTTTTTACAGCCAACAAAACTCTTATATATAACTGTACTTTAAAATGGCACCCATTACTTCCTTCTCAGTATGCCACACCCTGTAACCATTCCTATTTTTATTTTTCTTAATTTTCTAATATTTATTCATTTTATATCCCAGTTGTAGCCCCCTCCATCAATCTTCTTGTATCTGTGGAGTCTTCCTTTGTGCCCAACTATATGATCAATTTTGGAGAAGTTTCTCTGAGGTGCTGAGAAGAAAGCATACTTTTCTGTGTTTAAGTGAAAAATTCTGTAGACATCTATATGTTTATTTGATTTAAGACCTCTGTGTCATTGTTTCTCTATTTACCTTTTGTCTAGATGATCTGTCCTTTGGTGAGAATTGGGTGTTGAAGTCTACCATTATTAATGTCTTGGGATCCATGTGTGATTTAAGCTTTAATAATGTTTCTTTTATAAATGCAGGAGCCCTGGTATTTGGGGCATAGATGTTCAGGATTGTTATGTCCTCGTGGTGGATTTTTCTTTTTATGAGAACGAAGTGTCCCTCCTCACCTATTTTGATTAATGGTTGAAAGTCTATTTTATTAGATATTAGGATGGCTACTCCAGATTGCTTTTTCTAGCCCTTTTTATGAGGCAGCATCTATCTTTGTTATAGAGGTGTGTTTATTGAATGCAGCAGAATATTGGATCCTGCAACAATTTTGTTAGTCTGTCTCTTTTTATAGGAGAGTTGAGTCCATTGATGTTAATAGATATTAGTGACCAATCATTGTTATTTCCTTTTATTGTGGAGTTGGTGTTGATTGTGTGTTTGTGTGCTTTTTTTGCTTTTGCTTTTTTGCTGTGATGGTGTCTTTATCCTGTGTGTTCTTGGGTGTAGTTGATCTCCTTGGATTGGAATTTTCCTTCTAGTATCTTATGTAGGGATGGGTGGCTGTGTATTTATTGTTTAAAATTACTTATGTAATGGAATATTTTGTTTTCTCTATCTACGTTGATGTGAAGCTCTGCTGGGTATAGTAGATGAGTTGGCACCTGTGGTTTCTTACTGTCTGCATGATATCCACTCAGTCCCTTCTGGCTTTCATAGTTCCTATTGAGAAGTCTGGTGTGATTCTGACAGGTCTGCCTTTATATGTTACTTTGTCTTTTTCCCCAGCCACTTTTAATTTTTCTTTGTTCTAGAGATTTAGTTTTGATTATTATGTAGGGGGAGGAATTTCTTTTCTGCTCTAGTCTATTTGGTGTTCTGTGAGCCTCTTGTATGTGTAAGAGCATCTCTTTTTTAAGGTTGGGGAAATTTTCTTGAAAATATTTTCTGGACGGAGCCTGAAAATCTTCTTTTTCTTCTATTTCTATTATTCTTAGGCTTTGTCTTTTCATGGCATCCTTGATATTTTGGATGCTTTGTGTCAGGAACTTTTCTGTTTTTATGTTTCCTTTGAGAGATGTATTGATTTCTGCAATTGCATCTTCAGCACTTGAGTCTCTCCTCCATCTCTTGTATTCTGTTGGTGATGCTTACTTCTGTGGTTCCTGATCTCTAAGTTCCCTCTCCATCTCCAGGGTTTTCTCAGTTCTGTTTTATTTATTGATTCTAATTCCATTTTCCTGTCTTGAATGATTTTATTTCCTTCACCTCTTTGATTGTGGGTTCCTGTCTGTCCATGATGGACTCTATTTGTTTGTTTCCTGTTTATGTGCCTCTAATAACTGTATAATCATAGATAAGATCATTTTCCTGTGTTTCAGCTGCATTACCATTGATTTTTTTTTGGAGATTCTGGTGAAGCCATGATGTGTTGGTTTTTGTTGGCTGTATCCTTATGCTGGCTTTTGGCCATCTGGTTGTCTGTAGCCTCAACTGTTTGTTCCTGGAACCTGTCCTGCAGACTGGGTAGACCTATCTCTGGAGTGTGGAGTAGTCTATGGGATGATGAGATATGTCTAGGGGCTCAAGAACAGGTGCTGGAGATTCAGATGCAGCTAAGGAAGGGAGGAAAATTGTGCAGTTGTGTGATGTGGGCATGACTTGGGCATTGGGGTGAGTGCCATGAAGGGCAGGGCACATGCAGGTACACATGAAGGTGAGCGGTCCTGCCTGGGCAGGGCAGGGTGCATGTACAGATTGGAGTGTGGGCACACTTGTGCAGGTGTCCACATGGGATAGGCGTGGGTGGCAATCTCGGGTGTCCCAGAAAGGAGCTGGGCCACAGCTCACAAGAACACCAGATTCTGTGTCTGTGCCAATTAGACATGTCTGGGCTGCACAATCCTGGATCAAGAAACTGTACACATTCTCTGTTTGCCTGGTCTCCAAGGGGTGACCAGCAGAACCATGGCATAGATGCTGGGAAACCTCTCTCAGAAATCCTGAAGCAACCCCAGGGGGCAGGAGAGATCAGATGTCTGGCTGCTAGAGAAGAGAGTCCCTGGACCTGGAGCTCCTTACAGCTATCATATGTGGAGAGTGCAGGCAGACCAGGTTTCCATGACTCTCAGATCAGGGAAATGGCTTTGATCTGATCAGCCCCAAGTATCCCTGGAAACCCGAAGCTGCCCTCAGGAGACCAGGAGGGATCTGATGTCTGGCTTCTAGAATGGATGATCCCTGAGACTAGGGTGTGCAGAAAATCCCAGGGTTCACAGTTTGAGATAGTGGGACCTGGAAGATGAATCCTATAGGCCCCAACTCTTGGGATGTCCCCTGCATTCTTGGGAAGCCCCAAGTTCAATACTCTAGATCCAGCTGCCTGTCCACCGACTGGATTCTGAGTCCTGGATTCTGAGTCCTGGATCCTCTGCCCCTCGATTCAGTGCACACTGGCTGCACACTGGCTGCCATCGTGGACTCCCCACTCCCACCCCAGTAACAATTTCTTACTTCACTTAAAGTTGATTTCAACTTGACATTTACCTGAATATTTCACTGTTTTGGTCATTAATATTTTCAACTACATGCTTCTTTAATGTGGTGATTTGAATGAAAATGGCCCAAGTAGGCTCATTTATTTGCAAGTGTAGTCCCCAGGTGATAAACTGTTTGAGAAATATTAGAAAGATTAGGAGGTGTAGCCTTGTTTGAATAGTTGTTACATTTTTGGTGGAGGCGGATCATTGACGATTGACTATAAAACTCAAAAAAAAATATATCTACCATCAGGCCCAGTTGAAAAAATAACCAGGCTCTATCTTTTGATCAGGATGTAAAGCTCTTAAAAGATTTGCATTGTTCATGGTGTCTCTTCACAGCATTATAACACAACTAATACATTCATTCTTATCTGTAGGTTCAACTGATCATATAAAGTAGTTTCATCTTTTCGTTGATAGAAAACTATTTTATGTTGTACCTTTTCCCTCTCTAGGTGTTGTTTTCTGAAGCTGACTTATTTTCTCTTTATCAAACCTTAATATTGATGTTCACTTTTTTTCTTACTATATATCTGGCCTGTGCTCTCAACCTGGGGTTCTCATCTTGCTATTTTGAGAGTTTTGCTGCATCAGGAAGGGCCTGGTTGGTTGAAATAAATCACTAGGGGCAAGCCTGCTCTGCTCTGATGCTTGCCATTAAGGTCTGACTTGTACTGCCACACAGGTCCTCTAGCTGTCCTGCCCTGCCTTCCCACTATGATGCTCTAAAATCCCACCGAAACCATGAGTCAAAGTCAAGGTGCTTCCTTTAAATTGTCTGTCAGGAATTCTGTTCACAGGGAAAACAAAAATGGTTACTACAAATCACAAAGTCAATTTTGTAAGGGCCAGATTAGGAATGACTACACTGTATACTTTTACAAATATTGAGACACTGACATTAAAGTCAGTAAATATCCTTTTTCTCAAAGAATTACCTCCCCTTTTCCCTTCTGCTGAACATTTTTTGACGGAACAATCTGTTACTAGCCATTACCCCTTGGGGATGAGATTCAGAAATTAATGAGCTTATGTCCTTACTAATAGACATTATGCCTTACTTGTTTTTATAAAATTTCAATCTCCCCTTCAGACAAGGATTATGATACATTGGAATAATCATTCTTCATTTATAGATACATGTGCAGAGAACATCAGGATGAACAATTTAAGCAAGAGGCATTTCGGATCAATGAACTGAAAGATCACTGGAGAACAATGAGCATGGCAACATCACTGAGAACCAACTGATG